TTGTTATATGTTTTCTATGTTAAGGTTAAAACCCTTCTTTTTATTTTAGACACAAAAGAGGAGATGATGGGAAATGTCATTCTGTATATGTTTCTCATACTGATTAATGAATAAGCACTGTTGGCCAATAGGAAAGAAAGATAGGCGGGACTAGGGGACAAGGAGGAGTCTGGGAGAGGTAGGGGGAGATTCAAAAGTAGGACCAAGAGAGAATGCTGAGCCCTCTCTCTGGTAAGATAAAACCATGTGGAAATACTTAAAAATAGAAATGGGTTAATATTTAAGACAGAGCTAGCTAATAAGAAATGCTAGTAACAGGATAACAGTTTTATATCTAATACAGTGTCTCTGTGTGTCATTTGGAACCAGGCTGGGAAGGGGGTGGGGGCGGTGGGGAACTGATCATAGCACCCGTGGAGTCAGATTTTCCTTAGTTGGTAGATGAAGTCCTTTCTCTGTGTCTCTGAGTCTCTGTCTCTTGTTTTTAGTATCTTTTGGGATCCCGGACTGATATTCTTTACTGTCTCTTAATGACTTGGCAGGGCATGGGAGCATCCAATGAGCCCTTTTTTACTGGAAGACTTCTTACTTGATGCTCTCTTATCATTAGGGTTCACACACTGGGTTTCAGCCCAGGCATTTCACAGCAGTAGTACCCATGGTAGCTACAAACATGCAACAGGGTGTCTAGTTGCTTGTGTTTTATTTTCTTTGCAAGTTTGTTACAAGTGCAGTAACTGCAAGATGAGCCTCAGTGAGGAGGCTCCTGAGCCCTTGAGTGTGTCATGGAATACCAATGGAGTATACACAGATAAAGTCTGTCTTTAGTGCCTCCTTCTGAGTTTATGTGCTTTAATTTTTTTAAGGAAATTTTTTTTTAAATGTAGAAGGAAGGGAGGCAAAATTTGGTTTAAAAATACTAGTTTCTTACGTGTTGACAGTGAAGAGTGAGAGATGTAGCAAACAGAAAGCAAAGAGAGAAAGAACATCAGTAGACAAGCCCCAAGAGCTGTGGGACAGGTGACCTCAGGTCCATGGCATGGCTGGTGAGTGCTCCAGGGCCCTGCAGAGAGAAGGATGGAAGGTTCCACACCGGTGATACCAGTGTGTAAGCAAAGGGAAGCTGCACAGGCACTGACTCGCAATTTCAAAAATATTTCCATTCGAAATGCTGAAAATAAAAACAGAGAACTGGGCTCTGCAGTGATCTGGATTCAGATTATTCCCATGGAGGCTCTTGTTGTAAATGTTTGGTCCCTTCAGGAGGTGGCTCCTAGTTAGAGGAAGTTAGTTCATAAGGACTGTGACCTTAATTAATACCCTTAAAGGGGGCATTGGGAGCCTTAGCCTTGCTTTCTTTCTCTTTGTTTCCTGACCACCTTATGGTGGACAGCTTGGTTTTCCCATGTGCATCCCACCAAGATGCACTTTCGACAGGCTGGTAGACTGTGCAACAAGACATCTTTAACCAGGAAGCAAAACAAACCTTTCTTCTTTGTGGGTGTTTGACTGGGGCATTGTGTCCCAATGATGGAAATCTAACAGGAGCACAGTGTCTATGTAAGGAGTAAGGTTTTTCTGCCTGCTGCCGGTCTTGTCCCACCACCGCGCCAGCCCCAAATAACACATAGAGACTCTGTATTAGATATAATGCTGTTGGCCAGGTACTAGTTTCTTATTGACTAGCTCTGTCTTAAGTATTAACCCATTTCTATTAATGTAAGTAATTCCACATGGTCTTATCTTACCGGAGAGAGAGGCCGCCGGCGTTCTGCTCTCTCTGTTTTCCATCTTGACTCCTCCTTACTCCTTCCTCTTTCCTCCTTGACTCCTAGTCCCTCCTCTCTTGATTTTCTATTGGCCAACAGTGCTTTATTCATTAACCAGTATGAAAACATATTTACAGAATGACATCTCCCATCATCTCCTCTTTTCTGTCTAAATAAAAAGAAGGGTTTTAACCTTAACATAGCAAAATATATTACACAACAGTTATCAAATAAGAATCACAGTTAACAATATTTAGTCCATTAACATTTAGCAAGATTTAAGAAAGTATTTCATCATCTATCCTATCTTTCTGTGTCTAAAGTCTATGTAACTTATCTTATATCCTAACTAAGGAAAACTGTAATCGTAACTATGTGTCTTCAACTCCCTCAAAGATCACAGAAGGATAATATATAAACTCTAGAAATGAAAAGACACCTTGCCTTGTCAGTCACCTGAAGTTCTTCTGAATCTTCCATCTTCAGCCCATAGGCCATAGTGTGTCTGGCAGATTCTTCAGCAAAGCAGGAAACTTTAAACTGTCTTCTTGTATTGGCAGTTTGTCGGTCACTTTTCTCTGTGTCCTGCAGACTGTCTGGCAGACTCGTCCATGAAGCAAGAACTCTGTAGCAATGTCCATCTTGAATCAGCAGTCACTTTCCTGTGGGTCCTACATGTCCAGTTTATACAGCACAAAGTCAAACAGTCCAGACAAGAGCAGTATCTTGCCCAAATGGCTAGTCTTGCCATACTGGAAGCATACGCCATACGTGTTTTTTTCGATGTCCATCTTCCTTTCTGACACAGGTGGTGTTGCCAGGAGCATTTATGTCTTACTGTCAAGGAAAACCCTAAACCATTTTAAATGCCATATTCTGTAGGTCTTTGAAAAGTTTGAAGAATGCCTATCTATCTCAAATACATCTCTGTATATCTAGAAAGCCTAACTAACACTATAAGTTTTGACTATTATAGGTAACTATCTAAAATCTGTACTAAATTAAACATTACATTTCTAAATGAGCTATGCAAACACAATATCTAAACAATTTGTATCAATAAATGAGAAAATCCATTCCAAAACAAAGTATTCATATCTATACCATAGTCCCCTTTTTACCTTTAAAAAGAATTGGCTGTGCTCATTAACCATTTATAACCAAGCCCACTCAAATGAAAACAAACATTTGTAAACAATATTTGGGAATTTGGGCGTCATTCTTTCCAAACTGCTTCCTGCTGATAGGGGGCTCTATTATGGGGGCTCCTAAGAAGAGGAAGAAATCCTGGCTGTATGTCCCAACTGTTTTGAATGTTGGATCACCAGGAACTCTGTTTCAGGGGGTTTGGTTTGATCAAACCACATTTGTCTGGAAGGTATCCACAGCTTTTCATTTTCTGTGGAAACAAAAATAGAAATCATTTTCCCCAGTAACTTGTCCTCAGACTTAAATTTTGTAATCAAAGCATTTTTAAAATATATAAATTGAATTAATCCAGCAGCATTTCCTTTAATGGTTGTTGTTATTTCCTCAGACAAACAATTTAAAGACAACAGAATAGCATATAGCATCTATAATTTTTTTTGTGTTTTCCATTTTGACGTGGCTTTTTTATTACTCTGTTTTTTTTTTACTTCTAGTTTTTCATTTTTTGAGACAGGGTTTCTCTGTGTAACTTTTATCTGTCCTGGAATTCACTCTGCATACCAGATTTACATTGTAATCATAGAGATCTGCTTGCCTCTGTCTCCCGAGTGCTGGGATTAAAGGCTTGTGCCACCATACCCAGCTCCTCAGTGTCTTTTTAAAACCATTTTATTTCTTTTCTCTCCCAAGCCTACATACATTTTAGAACACATTGTAAACCTTTAGTGCTTTTTCTTACTGTGAGTCTGTCTTTATTGTAAATCTTTATCTTTGTCTGGCCACAAGTCTTTATCTGTTAAACAACAACATTGCTAAAATGAAAGTCATAGCTGTGTTAGCCATGGTCTAGCCAAGATGGTGGCGGCTATTTTACCACCAGCACTAAGAGCTGTGGTCACCGCCTTGGTCTATGCTGCACCCAGCAGCATGTTGCCAGCTTGGAGATGTGGTCATTGCCATTGCCATCTCTGATACACATCAATGAATTGTTAGCAGTTTCTTAAAAGCTGTACGTTTTTTTTTTTTTTTTTTTTTTTTTTTTTTTTTGCCGCTTATGCTGAGTTAGGAAACTTCCCTTAAAGGAGCCATGCAAATATCTACTTGTCTCTCCCAAAGCAGAGTCTAACCGAGAAAAATGCTGCTACCAAGAAACCTTGCTTGTCTCTGTTCTTTTGTTTCTAAAACCCTTTTTTAAGGTTTTGTTAAATTTTAAGTGGAAGTTCTTACTAGCCATGTGGGCGCCATGTAAAGAGTAAGGTTTTTCCTCCCGCCGCTGGTCTGGTCCCGCCGCCACACCAGCCCCAATTAACACACTGAGACTCTGTATTTGATATTATGCTGTTGGCCCATTACTTGTTTCTTATCGGCTAGCTCTGTATTAAGTATTAACCCATTTCTATTAATTTAAGTATTTCCACGTGGTCTTATCTTACCAGAGAGTGGGCTGGAGACCTGTTCTCTCCAGACTCTCCATCTTGACTCCTCCTTACTATTTCCTCTTTCTTTCTTGTCTCCTAGTCCCTCCTCTCTTGCTTTTCTATTGGACAACAGTTCTTTATTCATTAACCAGTATGAGAAACATATTTACAGACTGACATCTCCCATCAGCACACAGTTTCCAGGTGTTTCCTTTCTTTCTTTCTTTCTTTTTTCTTCCTTCCTTCCTTCCTTCCTTCCTTCCTTCCATTTCTTTCTTTCTTTTTAAGCAATAACATTTACTCAATGAATGTCAGGATACTGTGTTAAGCAACCTGCCAAAGTCAAACTTTCTAGACTTTCATGCATATTGTAGCCTAGTGGCATTTATTTATTGATGTAATATGATTATATTCTATATACATGCTATTGCCCCACTAACATTTGAGATTACACTTTAGAGATTTACATTTGAGAGTTACAACCTTGTTTTTTTGTTTTTTTTTTCTTTTTTGGTTAGTTACACACCTTATTTATTTTTTTAAATTTTATTTTACATTCCAACCAAAGTTCTCCCTCCCACATTTTCTTGGGAGGGACTGCCAGGGGACTGAAGCACTTACTGTGCTGACTTCAATTCTGTCTGGTCCACATTCTTCACAACAGGTTCTCTCCAGTGTCCTCACTGTAGCTTTGTCTGGAAAGTGTGATGAAGAGATTCTTCATCTCCTGCTGACCTTTCCCAAGAGTGAGAAATCCTGGTTTGCTACAAAGGAACTCTGCAGCCTGCCTGGCTCTCAAGTGTTCTCTCTGCTTGTGGTGATGGGCCAGAACCTGAACCTGAGGAACCTCATTTACAAAGTAAGGACCTGGGGGGGAAGGTCGGTGGGGATACAGAGTTGTGGGGTGGAGGATGGAGTGGGGGGCACTGCAAGGAAGCTGTCTCTGTGACTATGCTGACCACACACTGGCTGCACAGTTGTCTGCATCCTCAGACCTCAAAGCCAAGGGTGCTTGGTGCCTTTATGAAAGGGTGTGCTGTATAGAACCTAATAAATGCTGTATAAATACTTGTTATATTGCATTCCCTTTGGGATACTGACAAGAAAAAAGTATCTGTACATATACAGTATAGACACTTAGAAATATTTTGGCCTATAGTTGTTTAAATTGATGGATGGCCATGGCCTCTATACTAGCTGTAGCAAGGGACCAACAATAAGTAATTCTGTGGCAGCCTCAGTCACCTAGAGAGGGAGGATCACCCACCCAATGACTCTGGGGATGGCATTTAATCTCCAATTAGATCTTGTCAAATAAATAGAAGCCTAGAAGACCCTTGTAGTTTGTTCATGGGGTTAGGGCCATTGAAGCATTGGGCACAACATGGTAGTGAGGAGGGGTCACCAGAAAGAAATGTCACAGAGCTTATAGTCAAATTTCTTTCCTTGTAAGAGACAGCATCCCGAGTATCTGAGGAAGCAGGGTTGAGCCTAGTTCATTCCTAAGCTGCCAAGGCAGATGTTCCTACCATGCTGTGGCCCTCACTTTCTTTGTCACCTGGATCTGTGACATCCTCCCTGTCTGTTAGATGCATCCGGTTCTACCAGGGCAGCTGTGGGAAGGTGAAGAGGGGTGAGCAATATAGCATCTCTGTGTCCTTGAATATACCAGCTCTTTCCCTGCTCCACAACAGTCCTCCCCAAAGCAGGGAAGGGATGGAAGAAGATGAGGGTAACATCCCCAGAGAAGACGTACATGTAGGAAGTTGGTGGCTGTCTCAGCCCTCAGCTACCCAGCACCAGTTCCTAGCCTTACTTCCTATTGTCAGCCGCCCTTCCTGGAAGGGCTTCCTCATCTCCACACACGAACTTTCATTTAAATTCTCAGTACCCCCTTGCCCTGCCCTTGCCCATGTCTTTCTTGAAGCCCTACTGTTTTTTTCTCATGAGGATGTGTGACATATGCCATCAGAAAGGCCCATATCTGCACCATGCCATGGTGGCTGCTAGTGTCCCATGTTCAGGACCAGGAAAGAGTAGATTTGTTTTTCCAGCCATTCTGGTCTTCTTTCATTCTGCCACTCTAGGAAACTTCCAGCAAATGTTTATCTACTTCCCCATATCCACACCCTCATATCCACTTATACATAGTCTTCAAGAATAGATGCTAATTTTTATGACAAGTGTACTTTAAAGTCTTAAGACATGACTCTATATTTTACAGATTCTTTGTCTTGGTGAAATTGACACTTTCAGCTGACATGCCAAGGAGCTTAGCTCTCTGTATTTGCTTATCATAGTCCGCTCATCCAAAGTCACCACTGTATCAATTAGCCCATTGTAGTGCCTGCTCCAGCATGCCCACATAGGCCTCTTAGGGTCAAAAAAAATTACTTGGACAAGGGCCATCATACCTGCCAGGATGTCTTTGGAGAATGAAATATTAGATTGAATCCTATCTCAAGGGACACAGAAAAGGAGACACTGCCATTAATAACAATAGTTCCCTTTATCAGGCCCTTCCATATGAGAGTGTACAGGCACATGCATTGCTTCTGAGAGTCAAGCGACTTCAGGTGACAGGTACTTTCTGTCTCACTTGCTGACAGTAAACCCCAGAAACCTTTGGTGAAGCAGGCTTGGCTCTGTCAACATCACCCATGCCAGAATCCCAGTCACTTTCTACCACTGATCAGTGGCCTCAAGGGGGTCACTTCTAAATGACAGCTCTGGAGTGGGGAACCTCCAAAAGCCTCACCCTGTCTCCTGCTCCTCAGTCTCTTCTTTGGTAGTGTGCTGAGTAGGTCATCTCTAGCAGAGGGAAATATGAAATTGTTATATCCTGGCTGCAAAGCTGTAGAGTAGCAGGACTCCAGAGTACAAAATTAAGCAGTGACCATTGGGCTCCTTGGCTCAGTCCAGCTCCTGAAAATTCAGGACATAGATGACTTGCAGAGGGAGGAGGATCTCTCTGATGTTTCCCACCTGCGGACAGAGCGGCTGCCTGCTGAGTTAGTTTGGTCAGCCAGAAAGTACTCAATTGTATAACTAATATTGCAGATGCTGATCTATCTTTATTGCACACATAAATGATCAAGGCAGAAAGGGATTCTTGGAATTTACATTGTAGGGGGATATGCAAACAAGGAGTGACATAGGTAGTGGTCTGTTGGGTGGCCTGACAAGTATTACCAGATACTCTTCCCAGTCTAATTTGCAGTCCCGAACTTCTCTCACTTGTAGACTCCAGGAAGCCTCTCATCTCTCCAGGCTTTCATTTGCTCATGCACCGCCCCAGGGTTCTAGGAGTATCTGTGAGTCACATAAGAACACTGTTTTATTTTGAGCCTCTTCTCATATTTCTGCCTTAGTTATTTTAAAGTTATGAAGAAATATTTTGAAAGTGATTCAAATTCTAACCATTTGTTGCTGGTTTGTGTTTTAACAATGCTGCTATAATTTAATGTGCTCTGCAAAACACAGTTACATCTACTCCAACACAGAATTTTTATAGATGATAAAAATCAAGCCCTGGAAGTTCAGGGGAGGATAAAATCAAGACACAAAGCTGTCACTGCTCAAGAGATGCTTGCGAGAGTGGAAGTAGTATTGATTATTCCTTTTTTTCCCTTTTTGCTCTCCCGTAAGACTCTGATACCCTCTGAAGAAAATGGCTTGCTCAACTCCCTGTTGGATGTCATTTCCAGCCTCAGCTCCATCCTTGCCAGAGCCCAGCATGTCCTTGAACATCTCTCTGAATTTCTTCACATGTTTAAAATCACCACCTTGCTAGACATGCCAGACTTCCAACAGGTGTGTTTGATCTTCACAGGATGGGAAATGTTCTAGTTTGTTCTCTTTTTGTGTGTTCCCCTTTCCCTTTATTTGCCTTCTAACCTGTATAATTTTCTAGAACCACCACGTAGATGGACAAGAACACTTTTTAATGATTTTGTAGCTAATGGGATAGTAGTAGGGCCTGAAGTTACCCTAAAATTCAGAAGTGCTATTGATCCACATTCCACCAATGAGGAGGCTGAGATGATTCACACTTTGTCTATGAAGTAAAAATCTTCTAAGTCAATTATTAGCACAGATGAGATTTCAAGGGCTTGTTTAACTTAATTTCAAGAGCAAATTGCTTTCAAGAACCTTAGAACATTTATTTACATATAAATAATTGGCTTACAAATTACAGATAATTTTCTCCTAATGCAAACACAGACTTGAATTAGGTTAGTGGTTTGATATTACTTTTTCCTTAAATTTCTTCTGCCTGGGATGGAATCAACTAGGGTGAGGAGAGTTGGAGGTGCAGGATGGGTCAGATAATGTACCCAGAATCATTGCTAACAGTATGTCCATGTACACATCAATTTATGGCTAATTTGGGAAGCTGTCAAGAATCATTATTTACTTAGCAGTGTGAACATATGCCATGACTATCAATTTATCTGAAATCACGATATTATTTGATAGATTAGTTTATTATTGCCCAAACAAGGAGGTGTGTAAATGTGAGCACCTATGCCTGTGTGTGAATGTATGTGTGTGAATCTGAGTATATGTGTTAATGTCTGAGTATATGTATGTGAATGTGTGAGAAAATGCATGCCTGCATAAATGTGTGTGTGAGCGTGCATGTGTGTGGACATGTGTTTGTGTGAATGTGAGTATTTGAGTATATGTAAATGTATGTGAATGTGTGTGGATGTATGAATGTAAGTGTGAGTATACAAATGGGAGTGTGTGAACGTGTATGAATGTGTCTGAAAGTATGTGAATGAGTGTGTATGAATATGTATGTGTGTGTGAATGTATGCATATGTGATTTTCCTGTTATATAATATATTTCCCAGAAATAAAATCACTGAAGTTATTTTACTGGTTTCCCAAGAATAGAACCGACTGAAGCAGAGTCTATTCTTTCATGTGTGTGTTCTGTCAGAGACAGAACGATGCTTCCAGAAGTCTGAGCATAAAGGTTGAAACCACTTGTAATGGGAGGTTGCTTTTCTTATGCACAGGTTTTACAGAAAGACCAAACCAGAAGTTCATCTTTAGCCTCTTTCCAGTCTGTGATGAAACTTCTCTGTAAGGACCAGGACTCTTTCCTCAGCAACTCCAACATGTTCGTTAATTTACCCAGAGTCAATGAGCTCTTGGAGGATGACAGAGAGAAGTTCAATATTCCTCATGACTCAAGTAAGACAAGAGCTACCTCTAGTTATGTAGGTTGGCTTGTATATCTGAGTGCTGGCATGATAGTTCCCTGTAGACTTTCCCAGGTCCCATAGTCAAAGACTAATACTCTCTCCTGGGTCTCCAAGAAACTTAGTCTAAATCATTTGACCCACTTGAAACTCCAGCTTCTTTGGCACCCTGGGATAAGCAATTTTGATGACAGCATTAAGTATCATTTGGCAGTAAGCCAGTCTATTCCATAGCTGATGAATTCCATAGTTGTCAAAGGTTTGAGTAATTTGATAGACATACATTAGGATTATTTAATTTTAGTAAGTTTTGTTTCTTCTTTCTCTGATACTCCTTTCTCTTTGTTTTTCATTTTTGAATCTTGACTGATTATCCCTCTTTCATCCATATACCCTTTAATCCATCTGTCTGTCTGTCCACCCACCCACCCACCCATCCATCCATCCATCCATCCATCCATCCATCCATCCATCCTCACATCTGTTCATCTCTCCAGTTGGTTGGTTAGCACTGAGAACCAATCTTTGTTGATCCCTTTCTGCATTTTCTTTCTACATGGTTGTTATAAAAACTACGAGACAACACCATGAGTTTCACTTTCCAGAGGGCATATCAGAAGCCCAGAGAATATTAATTATTCTCCCAAGTTTTCTCAGTTCACAAATCACTCATGATTCTTGGAATAAAGTTTCTTGCACTATGAATACCATGATTATTCCTAAGAACTATTCCTGTGTTGATTAAGCTTGCAATTTAAAGAACAAATTATTAAACATAGAATAATCTCTCCAGTCAGTGCTTCAACAGTTAGTATATAGGTATATGGTCAATTTATATTTTATGGGATCATTTTTATTGATTTTTTTGTATTTGCGATAAAGATTTTTTCTGTTCATGAGAGTTGTGGAAAGATGAAAGTAACACACTGATCAAAACAGTATTAATCATACCTATGTGAGTCATGGCATAAGGACAGGATAACAGTTCCCTCTAAGGCTCACATTTTGGATAAAAGAACTGGTTATACTGATATATTTATAATTATTTATAAATGTGATACTTAATTACCAATCATTACAGGGATGAATTACCTACGGATTTAGACAACTTAAGCAGACTTGTCATTGAAATCAGTTAGTTTTACAATAAGAGCTAACATAAGGAGTTGTTTGAGTCAACATAGTATGATTTAATGTACTAAAAGCATCAATTGTGATAGTTTTGTATAGATTATCAGAGAGAATTCAGGAGCAATTTACAAGGTGACTACATTAAAAAAAGAGGCCTTTGGATTCCCAATATTGTGACTATTGAAGTTAGAATTTTCTTAATTAAAACCATATTAAAAATAATCTGCAATCTCTTTGTTAAGTGTCTGTGACAGACAACAGCCTGGGTGGTGGGGTCTTGATATTCTTAGGGGACAAGGACTGCTATGTCAGGGACATGAAAACATTACCAGCTTACTCTGGTTCATAGCTATGTCATGGAAACATACCTGAGTAATTTCATTGAAAATTAAGGCATAGTGGATGTCTGGATATTTTATATCAACCTAGATCACCTAATTCTTTCCTCCATCTTTTAACTGTGGCAGCACCATTTTGTTTGAAGCTTTATCAGGAAATTCTACAGTCTCCAAATGGTGCACTGGTATGGTCTTTCCTAAAACCTATATTACATGGAAAAATACTGTATACACCGAGCTCTCCAGAGATCAATGAGGTCATTCAAAAGGTAAGTTTAAACAAGGACAATTCTTATAGGCCATACAATACATCATATCAGGAAGAAATCTTTATATAGATAATAGACTTATTTATGTGCATTGGGTTACATAACATTTTCTTATGTTGGTGCTGTATGGATTTGCTGAGCTCTTTGCTTATGGAATGTCCTGGAGGCTGGAAGGGTTACTTAGAATCATGAATGCAGTGACCTCTCTTGAATATCAAAATCTGACAACAATTGCAAATAAGTCAGTTTCAGGTCAGGTGAGGGGACACAGTTCTAGAACAAAACATTGGAAATAGATTTAATTCACTTTACTTGATGTATTTGATACTGAAGAGAGAGTTCAGCGGTGCAGATGCAAACTGACCTTCTAAAGCATTTTGGTGGTGATGTCTTTCGAACGGACCGTGCGGTTTTTATGTGACCCCGTGGAGAATAAGGTGAAATGAAAAGGCCACAGGAATCCCTGAGACGGAGTTCCTCATATTGTGTAGTTTTGTTCACTCACCTTTCAATATATTGTTTAGCTTCTTTGGTATCTAGTTGCTGGAAGACCTCTTATTAATATTTATATTAAAATTGTATTCTCCTGGGGACTTCATCTTGTTTCTTTTTAAATGATTGGGCTGCATTTTTCTGTAGGCCCTTTCTTGTCTCCAGGTGGGCTGTAAACCTGCAGGAACCTTGAAGGGTCACTTTTTCAAGGACACAGGAACTTTGATCATATTCTCAAATTTAGAAGACCCTGCTCTAAGAATGACAAACTTCAAGCTTTAAATACTAGTAGTAATTAAAAGTGCTGTGTGGTCATAGAATCAGTGAGTTACTTTTGGTTCAGTGAACTTTCAAGAGGACTAAGTTTTGTCCCCTTGTGACTGCTGTGCAACGTCACAGAAAGTCTCTTGGGCACCTGCCACCTGCCACTTAGCCTTGTGGCTGCACAGCCCTCAGTATGCCCTCTGTTGTATTTATAAACTTATTTTTTTTATTTAAATGTCCTTTGGGATGGAAGTTTGCCAAAAGCCTAAGTTGCTTTGAAGTAATGCTAGCTATCTAGAGACTTGAGTAGGTCCTCTAGTAGCTATTTTGTGTGTCTGAGGCTCTCATTCTGGCATCACACTTGGAAGAGAGGCTTATACTAAATCCAAAGCCAATGCCAGACGATGCCCTCTGTGTATAAAACTTACTAAGGTCTACTGCAGTTCAGAAAGTTAATAGAAAATGTCTCTATCTCAGCTTTATTAAAAAAAGAGGTTATAGAATTTTTATAATGATATATCTTAATGTCATTATTAACATGTATTTATGTCACGTTGCATAATACGTTGTGTTTTTCAATGATGGTATCCTCTTCAGAAGTGTGGAAGAGACGGCAAACAGCCAAGGAAGCTAATGTGAAATGCAACCAATGATACAGAGTCCCAGACCTCTGGATACAGGGTTGAGGAGGGGACACACCTTACATCAAGGTTCTGAGAATAAGTGTTTCAGAAGAACCAGGCAAGATCTCAATGGTTCTTACTTGGCCCTGGTTGAGTTTCAGAGGTAGTAATAAAAGTCACTATCTCTTCTGCTTGTTTACATGGCTATAGACTGTGCTGGGTCTTGTTTTGCCTAGTTAATGTCATGAGAGACCATGCACTGTCTTACGTTTACACTCATAAAGCTGACTTAATGCCACTGTCCCTTGGATGAATTATTCTTGCTGTCAACCATGGGCATTTAGTTTTATGAAAATTGGTTCTGGTCTTTAAACACACAGATGCATATCCCACACAGCAGAGAAACTTACTGCAATGCCATCTATGCTGCTGGTGTGATCGGAGCTGTAAAAATGGAAGCCATTCTCCCCATCGGAGTATTTCAGCCAGTGATGGATCATGCAGTTGCTTATGGTCTTCTAAGGTTATAATAGAGCTGAAAAATTCCTGCTGCCCTTTGGTGACATAGCTGTCATCAAGTCATTGCACAATGTTTGTGATGATGCTGGTGCATTGTGAAAAACGGAGCACATCGAATCATGTGAAGTTTCCTATACTTGAGACTGACTAACAATTATACTACTGGTTTGTGTATTTGGTGTACTGTACGTTTGTTATTTTACAGTGCCTTTTAATTGTAAAAATGCTTTACTGTAAAGCAGTCGGCCATGTTCTGTCTGCAGCAGCCCCATACATCTTATGCTAACCATGGTTCTTGATTGACCTGTATGATTTAGGTTCATATCAGTGCACTCTAAGCTGTGTGCATAACATGAAGTGTCCTGATGATGACAGTGTTCAGAGTGGATCTTGGCCACTGATGAACATCTGTGGGTTCCGTGTAGACTTAGTTTTTTATTATTTCTTTTTTTAGGTAGGGACATAGGAAAATGCCATTTTTATTGGAAAAAATATTAATGCAAATGGGTAATTTTCTGTGGTTGAACTGGTTAAACTGAATCATAATATCTTGTTCAGAAAATATGTGCCCATTGGGAAGGAAGGGTTTAAGCCTTCTTTCTTCTTTCCTGCCTTCCTTCCTTCCTTCCTTCCTTCCTTCAATCTTATTTCATGTATACCTGCATTCCAGAAGAGGGCATCTGATACTATTATAGATGATTGTGAGCCACCATGTGGTTGCTGGGTCTTGAACTCAGAACCTCTGGAACACCAGCCAGTGTGCTCTTAAACCCTGAGCCATCTCTCCAGCACTTACTTTTTCTTTTAAAAGGACTCATTCTCTCCATTTGAAAAATGAGACCCAGATACCCTCCATATATATCATTCAAATCTTTTGATCAAGTCAGCACAGGGCACAGTCACATTCTCCCATGTCTTCTGTAGAACTGGCAGGATGTAATGGGGGATAGTGGGGACATGTGCAGAATTAGTAGATGGCACTGAAATATGAAGGTTTTTGTTTCAAGGCCAGCTTGGGGAGGAGGAGGTGGTGCTGTTCACACTGCTTTCTTAATTAAAATGTTTGTCTAGCATTGAGCCAAGTATTCTCTACTCTTTGGTCACAAGAGACCTCCTGGGCCAGAGAACTGAAAATGTCTTTTTCATTCTGACAGTCATTTACTCTGAGGTCACAGAAGCAGATATTAGGCCTGCCTATTTCTGTGGGCCTACTGGTCTGTGACTGAGCAGATTTCTTCAGACCAAGGACAGCTTGTAGCGGAGAACAAGTGGACTGATGGGTGATGGCCCATTTCCAGCTCTTCTTGCATCCTAGGAACTTTCTATATTAGGATCTGTGCTGGGAGCATGAGCCAAAGTGTGAGAACCATGTGGCTTCCTGACTGCTGGACCCACCTGGTGACTTGGTCTCTTTGTGACTAGAGTGCAGAGCCTACCTTGTAAAAGAGACTTCAAAGGAGCAGTGTCCTGCATCAACCTCCCCTCATGTGAGTTCAGTGGCTTTGTACCCCTGTCACCTTCTAAGATGATTACAGTCTATTTAAAACTTTATCTTCTAGGTGTGCCTTAATGGTCTTGACATCTTGAATTTTGTTACCCTTTCTTCCAAGTTATTACCCTTTTTCTGAGCACACTGTCAATTTTGTTATTATCCGGGGCAATTGGAAGAGACCAAGATGATAAAAAAAGCAGGTCAAGTTTAATATGTGTTGTTATTACTATAAAATCATAGGAGCAGGAGAGGATTGGTCAGTGAGAGAAAGAGAACACTGGAGGACACAGTAATGGCAGACTGTCAGAGAAGCCCCTATACTTAGGGCTAGAACAGAACACACCCTTGTGGAAGTAGACCCCCACTTGTCCAACTTGAGTTCCACATTGCATTGGAGGGAGCACAGCTGGATGGCAGAAAAAGCCAGTGAGGTGTCTTAGCATCTGAGCTCCAGAATATCAGAAGTATGCAAGCTTAACGTTGTGCCAGTTGCCAAAAGAGAAAGATTACAGTCTAGCCTCATCACCGAGAACAGGGTAAGTTGAGAGTTGCAAGATGCTAACTTGATGATTGGCACAGTCAGCTGTAAGTTTTTTTTTTTTTTTTTTTTTTTTTTTTTTTTTTTTTTTTAGAGAAGTGAGACTCTTGAGGTATAGAGTTTCTATAATGCTCATCAGTTCTCAAGCATAATTTCTAATAAAGTGCAAATTTGAATAGAGATGGAAGAAGAGATGAAGGAAAGACCATCCCTTCAAACCAAGAGCCTACACTGGCTGGGACCCTGGTCTGTGCCTCAGATCTACTGTTGAGGTCACAAGGTGTGATTTTCAGTTCCCAGATGAAGAAGCTGAGTTTTAGGGTTGAGTAACTTCACCAAGGTCTCTCATCAGGTGGTAGATGTGGCACTCCAACCCAGCTCTGTTTGATTTCACAGTTAATATTTTATCTAATACTTGTCTGCTACATTCCAATGTTTTCTCTTCATGAGTTCACATGTGAATGCATTTCAGTTTCTGCTCTCAGGGTAACTGTGATGGTGTAGAGAATGGTCAGAAAGAGAGAGAGAGCAGATGAGGATGATGGTTTACTATGTACAGACTAGCACAGACTAGATATCAGACTGTGAGAAGCTAATCTTTGGTCTCATCTTCATACTGATTGTATCTGGAAGAGAGAAGAAAGCAAATGAACTGTGTTACAGTTCTCATACTCCTGGAATTCTAGCATAAATCATTTTATTGTCTCAGATGTAAAACTACTGTTCATCGAGTACTTATTTCTAAAAGATTTGAGCATGATGATGGACACTCCCAAACGCTTTTTTGCCTATGTCTCACAAAAATGAAACACAATTTGGCCCATTTTATTATTTCAAAATAATAGAGGTTAGGGAAGCCCACATTTCCAAGTATATCAGCTATTAAATGAAAATCTGTGACTCAAAGTGAAGTTTTGGGTCTGCACTGCTAGGTTCTTTCTATCGACCATATTTTGATGCTAACCACCAAACAGTAAGGGTCCTGTCTATGCAATCTGTGCTTCATCAGTTGGAGTACTGATTAGTTATTTTAGGACACAGACACATTTTATATATGTTTGTAAGATCAGGT